TAGGCCTTGGGCATGATGATGAGGCTGGGTGGGGAAGCAAGGAATGCACCATCACAAGGGGATAGAGAGCTTTCTGGAAAACTGGAGTGTGCCAAAACATACAGTTATATACACTGTATATATATATATATGTGTGCAGTTACATACCTCTGTAGAGTCTGCAGAGTCACGCAGGTTGTCTTGGAAATAATTAATAGAGGTGACCTGAAACTTGTCTAGGATTAAGCTTTAATTGTGAGTCCTGCAGTCAAATTCTCTCCTGAAACCACTTTAATGCAGTGGGCTTGTTACTCATTACTTGTCGGAAGGTTTAGAAATGTGCAAAATATTGGAAGTGCAATCTAATGTAATGTTACAAATAAATCACCTTAATTTAGTGTCTTATAAAATTACATTTTTTCAGATAGAGAGATTCTGCATGTATTTATTGCAGTTGCTGTCAATGAGTGATCCTTTTGGAATTCTGGCTTATTTCTGGATGTTTTAGCTTTCAAGTGTTGGCATTTACATTATGTATGACACATTTTTTGTCGTGGTATTCTGGAAAAGAGTCATGTTCAAAGGTGGGGAGACTGATAAATGACAGCACGCTTTCATGACAGTTTACATATGAAGAGTGATTGAAAATATGAGAGTCTCTGCTTGTTGAGTCACTGATAGTCAAATAGTACTAAAATTCATCTGTATTTCATTCTGCAAAGCAAAAAATAGCTTCCATTATGTTCAGCACTCTTTTTCATCTTTTGTGTTTTGGTTATTAATGCAGAATCAAAATAGAGACGCAGAAGATAAAAGAATTTAGTTGATAATTCTTTTTTTGAAATTTTTTTTGAAATTGCCTCTTTTACTGGAGGAACATGTATTTAAATATGTACATTTAAAAGTGTTTCACTTTGGCCAACATTAAACTCAGTGTAGCCTTCACAAAGAAGTGAGACACAACTTGCAACTTACTGAGGTGTATTGTACAAGATGCATTTTCTTTAAAAGTTCATTACCTTCACAAGAAATGCATTCAGTGTTACAGATTGCATTGATGCAGTTGGTATTAGATGAATAATTTTATTAAATTTTAAATCAGATCTAGTTACAGGAAAGTCTCTGGACAGACAGATATCTGGAAGAAACAGTTTGATCTGGTTTTGCGCAGTGGAAGTTCAGATGTAGATACTATAAGTTAATCCTAAAGAAATTGTAGAAATAATATAGAAGACAGAAGTAGATGTCAATAGTACAGAAGTTACAAGTAAATATGTAATTAAGATAACCTTGGTCTACAAGAGAAATAATAAAACTAACGATGATTACTATAATAACGGTGGATTGCTGGGCTTGACACCCTCAGCAATCTCTGTAGTAAATTGATAGAGGCATGATTCATCTTCTCGTAAACATCTAAAGTAAGATGAATCACAGTTTAAACATCCCCATTACTTTCCACTGTTGGAAAAAAAAGAGGATATGGTATTTAGCTGAGGTGGTGGCTGAGATGAATCAGAACTGTGAGCTTGCGTGAAAGGTCTGATAAGGTGATGTTATGTTTTACTGCCCTCTTCCTTGTGGGTTTTGGGTTTGGCAGTTGTCCTTGTAAATTTCACTGCTTTCATCTGTATTGGCATCCGTTCATTCAAACTCATTTATGAACTGTATAAATTGGTAGGCACAGTAGTATGCCTTATACTTTGTACTACAAAGATATATTAGGTATTAATAACTGACATCACAGTATCAATTACTCTAGGATTGTGATTTTATAAATCATATTCTCATACAGAGTGATCGAAAAATGCAGAAGAGCAAAATGTTCTCATGTGTTCTGCCAGATTTTACTGCAAATATTTAATTCTTCTAAAGACCAGATGTCACCACATAGCTGAAGGACTTCTTTGCATAGTTATGAGGCAGCACTGTCAGGATGTAAAGGATTTTCACTTGTCAAATACACTCTGTCATGTACATGAGTAATTGTCTTTGGATGTGTAGAGGTAGAGAAAGGTTGAAAAGGGCAGTTGTTTGTTTGTTAAATAGAAAAGTAAGCATTTTACACTATTTAATTTAATTCCAGGCTGAAATATTTAGAAGCCAAACACAAAAAGATATCAAATTGAGAAGTAGCAGTGAAATGCTGTTCAGTAGGGACAAGCTGGGGCCAAACTAATTTCCTTCTATGTCAGGGAACCAAACTGGGAGTATGCGATAAGCAGAGATGTTAAGTAACATCTTTAAGTGTTAACCTGACTTCACATGTTCTCCAAACTAATCACTCTCTCTATAATTAGAGAAGGAGCGTGATTTGTCTTATTTCCATGTGGACACCTAAACTAGTTCAGATGAATCATGCCTGTTCCTCTCTACTGGTTAACTGAGATGCAGACATCTGCTGTGGAACTTAAGTGAGTGTTTGCAACGAGGTGGAGAAGATCTAATCTGAAATACTTACATAGAGGGAGAAGTAAATAATTTCTTTACATTGGTGTGAATATACAAGAGGATGTGAAGCAGTGGAACAGTTTTCCTGGACATTGTGGCCTTCCTGAACTTTTTTCTTTATTTTAAGAATAGGTTAAATGAATATGTTGAAATATAAGACTATAGATACAATTGTACTTGTCCTATGTTCCAAATATATATTAGAGAACATTTCACATTTTTCCTGGCCTTCTGTTTCTGTTATTTAGCAAGATTGATTCCAGCTCTCATAAGCTAGGTTAGACAGTTGGAAAGGGGACATGACAGTAACCATTCAGTTTTGAGTCATGCAAGATATGTGCACCCCTTGTCACATGCATGATGGAGCAGAATCACATAATGGAGTGGAAATCGCAGTGGGACTGTAGTTTGGAAGAGACATATTCACAGCAGTTCTTATCTCCAGCTCCTTCTTGGAAATCATTACATGCTTGAGAATGTATTAACTGTCAGGGCTGCAACAGAACTTGCAAAACGTGTCTTAGCAGAGAATCTACAGAAAGGGTGAAAGGCTGTGAGCACCTCCAGTGAAGCTGATAGTAAGAATAGATAATGGTGCTGTATACCATGGTCTCTCTAAATGTAAAACATGTGGCATTAAAAAAAAAATGAAGAAGAAGAAAAAAGATTTTCTTCTTCTATATTTGGGTGGGATTTGGTGAAGATTAAAAAGCATTAAAATATAAAGCTCAAGGGAATAATTACACAAACTCTTAGTTGCATAATTATTCATACTACAGTAAACATTATTGATTTACATTTAAATTTAACATCTACTGTTCTTGGCACTACTGCATGAGCTCTAATTAAACATTAATAGTCATTAAAAAGCATTTTGCCAACAAACATCTGGTAGTAATTTATGAGATAAACTCATGCAAAATCTTAATAGTTGATTAAAGAAATTTTGAGTACTAGATTTCATCTTGGCAGCATATGTTTACTAACAGAAATCCTGGGTTTGATTTCTTTTTCAGTGATGCCATGAGACCAGATAGCTAGACTGAAAAATGAACTGGGATTTCTCCTTGGCCAGGGCCATTCTACCCAATGCAAGTTAAAAGAAATGCAGTAGCTCCCCTAATAAGCGCAGGAAGAATGATCCTTTTGCCAGATCAATATTCAGGAATAAAAAACAAGATTTTTTTTTCCTCACTTTGCATTGTAATAGTAAATGAGGCTTATTTATAATTTTATGTCTTCTTTGAAAGCCACTAATCTACTGGTTTTAATGTGATTTCTTTATAGTTTAGAATTATCTATGTCTCTCAGTAACAGAAATGCTAAAGGAACTGAATGATAGATACTGTTATTGAAAAAAAAGCCCTTTTAGTCTTATAGTTGTTTTACATCACTTTATGATCACTTTGTTAAATATGCTATTGTCAACAAAAAAACCAAACATATACAGGTAGAAGAATCCACTGAATAAATGTAGCATGTAAAAGTAAAAAGTGTTCATCTACTTTATTTTTTTTCTCTAGTCTTATGTTTTTATGTTTGTTAACTAAATTAGGAGATAATACTGTTCTTTCAAAAATTAATGATTTGATACATTGACAGTTGTGATTTTTGATTTAGGAATGCACAAATCATTAACTTCAGCAAAAGAAAAATAAAACTGCATATTACCCATGGTAGACAGTAGACATTACAACACAGTAATGCTGCAGAAGGTATCCATAGGATACTGTATTGTGGTTATGACAAAAATCTCATAGAGAATGGAACTAAGAGTCACTGAGAATCTGTGTGCCTGTGAATTAAAGAAGCAGTTAAAAACAAGTGAGCATTTAATAACATTGAAAAGAGCTTGTCTGGGTCATCCTGGTTATATTTAAGATGTCTTTTATATGTAATAGTTTTATACAGATTGAAAACTTACCGCTTATTTTATGTGGTTTAGTAATTAAGATATTAGATAGATGATGATGTTAACTTTGACCTATAAACATACAGAAGCACAATTTTAAATCTATGCTATGCATGCGGTATGGAATCAGCATAACTTGATAGTCATTGAAGTCTCTGATAGTGTTGTAAATGATATAGTTTGCCCTTGTAGATGTTCACAAGGAACTGTTCAACGTTTTAAGTAAATGTAGGTCTGCTTTACGCTGTTATTTTTCAAGCTGATGGAGGACAAAACAAACCTCTGGAATAGTTATAGCAGTTATAAAGCAGGACACATGCCAGTAGAATAATCCCAAGTAACAAACTGTAGGAAAACAAGTCCTAAAATGACAATTAAAAGCATCTTGAAGTATCATATACTTCCTAGAAAGGCACAAATGTGGTGGGAAGGGAAGGGAAGGGAAGGGAAGGGAAGGGAAGGGAAGGGAAGGGAAGGGAAGGGAAGGGAAGGGAAGGGAAGGGAAGGGAAGGGAAGGGAAGGGAAGGGAAGGGAAGGGAAGGGAAGGGAAGGGAAGGGAAGGGAAGGGAAGGGAAGGGAAGGGAAGGGAAGGGAAGGGAAGGGAAGGGAAGGGAAGGGAAGGGAAGGGAAGGGAAGGGAAGGGAAGGGAAGGGAAGGGATTCCCAATTCCCAATAAAGTCATAAAACAAATGGGAATATCACTGTTACCCAGCCGGAATTTCCTGCAGGCTCTGAATCTGGGGATTGAAGTAATCAATACAACAGACCATCTGCATTTCTCTAAAGACTGCAGCAGAGCGTTATTGAGAGTGCAATACTGTCCCCATTGCCAAGGGCTGATTTTGAGTAAGCCCTGTGTGGGCTACTGCCTCAGTGTCATCCGAGGCTGCTTAGCCTACCTGGCAGAAATTGACCTTCACTGGCAGGGATATATTCAGTCCTTGGAAGAGCTCTCGAGTGCTATGCTTGGAACATATGACATTGAGCATGTGCTTCTAAACTTTCACTCACTTGTTAATGATGCTCTCATGCAAGCTTGTGTCAATGGACTAGAATTAACTGAGCAGGTAAGAAGCTGTTGTTAGCCATGCTTGGTGCATACATGCCACCAAAAAGAGTCTCACTAAAAACTGATACTTGTTTGGCCATTTTTATAGCAATGCATATGTTTGTATCCAAATTCAGCTTTATTCAACAATGTATTTTTCCAACACTGCATTTTAATGTATTTTAATAATCTACATGAAGTTCTTATTTCACATTATCTATTCATGAGTTTGGCATCAAGTACAGATTTCAACATTTTGAAATTATTTATAGTAAAGAATTTTCAAAATAAAAGAAGTTTAACCAGAGTTCTCTAAATATTTGAATTAATATTGATTTTTTTGTTCTCATGAAGTCACAGCATTTTCAAAATTTTGGTAAAAGAAAATTTTGTTTCACAATCAAATGGAAACTTCAATTTCTTCACCCTTTTTGTTTAGAAGTACTTTGTATTCTTGCATGCAGATGTCACTGGCAGTGACATGCTCTTTTGGGGGGAAATACAGGTCTGTTCATGCCTGTGTTCCTCTAGGGTCTGGCGTCAGCTGACGTGTCAGTCATACTTAAAGGAGTACCACAACTTTCTTCCTTATTTGATTAGCTGAAGAGGAAACAGCTTCTTCTGCTAAGCAGCTGATACAAACTCTAGAACAACTTGACCTAGTATAACAGAGAATTCTTCATTTGTTATTGGGGTAAGATGTGCAGTCTGTTAAAATGGGTTTTTCCTCCCGCTTGCAGTCAGTGACTAATAGGGATATTGTCCTTTCCTAGGAATTTCCCATTTCATCTACTTGAGTCTCATGCTGCTGAACTTTATTAAGAGAAACTGCGAATTTTGAAAAGATTTTTCACTAACATTTTGACTCAGAGGTGGCTCACTGATGTCTGTCTAATTCCAGGGCTACACATGCTTTTTAGGGATAGTCCCTGTTCCTCTCCAGATAGTTTATATTTTACCCTACAGTTTTCAGGTTCAAGCTAAGAAAAACAAGTGAATACTCAAAGCTTAAAGGTCCTCTTTCTTGCTTTTCATATTGGGTCACTTGGTATGAAAAGAGCTCCCCTCTTAAGCTTTAAATTTGAATTTTGAATAATGTACCATAATTGCCCCAGATGTAATGACTTTTAAGACACTTGTGTTTTCAAAATGGAAGATTTCGTTCTCCAAAATAATATGTTTCATTCAATTTTAATGAAAAATTAAATGGGTGAAGAGTTATACAGTCACTGTTTTGATTGATCTAAACCAAGATGCTTTGGTTTTATTTTCCTAAAAATTTTATGCTTTCCTTCTTCCTTTTCTTTAGTAGACATAAGGAACATTAAATGTTCTTATTTTGTGCCAATATATTTGTTGGAAGATCATCTGTTGAACTCTGTTCCAGTAAGATCTTCTTATATAGAATTATTTCCAAACATTAATAACTAAAAAATTCATCTTTCACTTTTTGCATCAAAGACACATTTTTTGACTATTCATAAACCCTTGTGGTATCCCTAACTTAATTTCTGTGTTATAGTTGATCAGTCTTTTCTCTCTTTCATTTGTAATTCAGTCAGTAAGACTGTGAGGCATTGATCCCTTGAAACACAGTGATCTAGTTGGTCAGTACTGATCTGCTGAGTATGGCTTCAGTGTAGTTCAGATTTGCCCACGCATTAGGCTGATTCTGACATGTAATAAATATAGTCTTTCAACTTCCGTAGGAAGAGGATAGGAATTCTGTTGAAATTGGCTGTCAATATTTATTTATTTATTTATCTTCAGAGTGACTCATGATCTGCTGAAAACTTAGATAATGCATTAGTGATCCTGACACAGGAAAGATGATTATGAGCCAGCTCACAATGGCTTCCTTAGGCATTCAGCAGTCTCTGCATTTTTAAAACTGAATTTCATCACAATAACTTTTTTTTTTTTTTGAGTTTCAAGGAAGCAGATAGAGAAATAAAAATGTTTAAATGCATGGAGATACACTATATGCATATGCAAATTCTAATGTAAGAATGTACATTGTATCCTGTTTGCTGATATATTTATTCATCTAGTTCTTCATAGAATCATATGTACGCTTGTAGATACAACTAAATGAGAAGTATTTCTTGCTAACATGTATGATCATCTGTATTCAAATCTAATGTACATTAAGTTGATCTGTGTGGTGTGAAAAGACCATTAATGCCTACATAACACAACAGCTTTCTATTCACTTTTCTGCTTAGGTCAGCAAAGCAGTGCCACATTGTCTACAGTTACAATCTGGCCTTGAACACCTCCAGGGTAGGGGCATCCACAACCTCTCTGTGCAGCCTGTTCCAGCACCTCACCACTCTCTCTGTAAAGAACTTCCCACTGACATCCAACCCAAATCTTCCCTCCCTCAATTTAAAACCATTTCCCCTTGTCCTGCCATTATCTACCCTTTCAAGGAGTTGATTTCCCTCCTGTTTGTAGGCTCCCTTTAGGTATTGAAAGGCTGTAATGAGGTCACCCCGCAGCCTTCTTTTCCCCATGCTGAACAAGCCCAGCTCCCTCAGCCTATCTTTGTAGGAGAGGTGCTCCAGTCCCCTGATCATCTTTGTGGCTCTCCTCTGGACCCTCTTCGTCAGCTTCCTGTCTTTTTGTACTGGGGGCTCCACACTTGAATGCAGTACTTCAGGTGGGGCCTCACAAGAGCAGAGTAGAGGGGGACAATCACCTCCCTGTCCCTGCTGGCCACCCTCTTTTGATGGAGTCCAGGATACCATTTGCTTTCCGAGCTGTAAGGGCACACTGCTGGCTCATATTAAGCTTTTCATTTATCAAGACCCCCAGGTCCATCTCTGCAGTGTTACATCCATTCTGTTGTGTTAGATGTTGCATCTCAGTCATAAGGCAGAAGGAAAAAGAGTTTTTAGTGAGATTTCTGAAGTTCTGGTCTGGATGGATCCTTTTGTCATTTCTGGCATGTATAGGTTAGTGGTAGAGTCTCACGTTTTGTTCCCCTTATGCATGGTTTAATAGCAGGGTTCCATGCCATGTAAAGGTAGGTTTTTCTGTCACTCACAGTGTGGTTCAATGGCAGCTTGAACCTTTCTCACTTGGGTTGCAGATTCTGCTCTGGCACTGTGTTCAACATGTTTTTCCTTCCCTTTCCTCTGTGTGAATGGTGATTAGGCAGATGAAAGTTTACTTGTTGCAGGAGGAAGTCTGCCTTATCTCTGGTTTTGTTTCACTGCATGAGGACTCGTGCTATCATGCACTGGATAATGCAGCATGGGGGACCTGAGGGAAGGTGAAATGAGTTTGAGGCAAGAGCTGAAGGAAGAGGGGATGGGACCAGGAAATGAAAGAGCAAAAGAACAAGGCTTTGTAATTAAAATATTTTCTCTAAAACTTTTCATTAAAATATCATTCTTGAATGCCAAAAGATCAATGTTGTTTGAGATTAATGCTGAATAAAAGAGATGAAAAGAAATATTGATTAGTTGTTCATTATATATTCTAGGCACTCATGGATTTTGGTATCTGGAGGAAAATTAAGTATGTGACCGTGACGTGGAAAACTCTATATGCATACAAAGATGTGGGAATCAGGAACGTAACAGAAAAAAATAAAATTATGTAACAGATTCCGATATTTCCTTAATGTGGAAGTGATGAACTTACGATGAAATTTTCTACATTCTTGCATTTATTTTTGTACGTAATACCAAGCCTACAAAAGTTTGGAATGGGGTTTTTAAAAGCAATGTGTGCTCACGATGTTCTAATCTCTGTGGACTTGTACCAGATAGCTTTTGAAATAGTTCAAGATAATGAAAATGACAAATTTTTTGAAGTTTTGTCTTTTCTTTTTTTTCCCCCCATTTTAGTCTAATCCTGAAAGAAATTCAAAGTTTTGTGTCTTCTGAAAATAGGCATGATTACATTGTATTGAAAGAGACTTTTGTCTGCTCTCTTTTTTGTTTTTTAAATGTCATTCATACTAGAAAAAAAAAAAATATTCTTGTACTATAGGATGCTGGCAGTAAGAAGGTAATACATGATATTTATATCTTTTCTTCCTTATTATTTTTGCTTGGAATGACTAGCTATAAATACATAAACAGCCCGAACTGCTGCAACAGTGACATGTTGAATTTCTTATTCCTATGACAAGAGCTATTCACAAACATTATCAGTGAAATTCATTTTAATTTTTTCTGGTCCTGCTAGGGTCTGCTTTATGTAGCTACTTTTTATTGAAGCTTCTCTGATGAAAAATCACACAACCTTATTCAATACCATTATAGAAAATGAACTGTCTGTGTAAGTGCATTAAACCAATTAATTCCAGAGATTTAAAAAAGGAATAGGAAGAAGGTGATGAAAAACATGTTTTGATGATCTCAAATATGCACACAACATATACCTGCAAGCTGTAGTATAATTGCAGTTTTATTTTGGAGGAAGAGTATGCATGACTACTGACAAAAGACCTGATAATAGTATTTCTAATTGTGGGAAGTACTGTACCTAGATACTTAGTAACTTTTGTTGTTTATTAGATTCAGGCACTTAAAGAGCTGCAAGAGGTCAGTGTCTTTTGAAGTAGTTGTTCTGTGAATCCACTGCTTTAGTATCTAAATCTGATTTATTTACTTTTTTTATACCTCTAAAGATGTCAGTACTATGCCTATTGCTTCCTACCTACTGCATTTTGATTGCTTCCTTAGAGTGAGTTAGTCAATCATGAAATAAGTTCAGAAGCTACTTTAACATATTAGAAATAATATCTTCATTACCCTATTTTAAAGAGGTCTTGATATTTGAAAATGCTAATTATAAATCTGCTACATAAATCAGATCATGAAAGACATCTGAAATCCATCACTTACCCAAAAACAAAGTTGTAGGTATCACAAAGAACTATATTCAGCCCACCTGAAGAGAAATTCTATATTAGATGCCTTTAAGAATACATAGTATAGTTAATCAAAAGTAGTTGTGGATTTAAAAAGAATCAGAGATACGATATTTTACCACAAGAGAAATATTAGGCTGT